ATGGTGATGGTGATGATGGTGATGATGATGATAATGATGATGGTGATGATGGTGATGATGATGGTGATAATGATGGTGATAATGATGATTATGGCGATGATGATGATGGTGATAATGATGATGGTGATGATGATGATGGTGATGATGCAGTGATTTCGTATACATTAACTAGACGTTTGGTTGTTGTTGTATATCATAGTTTGCATCCACTGTATGTTGAACTTATTTCGCACCGTAACGTAGCCATATATACATGCAATACTACACCTCCAATTAGCACGGTTGGCTACGTACGGCGTGAAAGAAGTTCAACTTCTAGATTTGAAGCTTTCGTGACTGCAAGGATTCATACTCCTAGGGTTTTTCGGGAAAGTCACGTAGGTAAAAAATAAAATAAAAATTAATAAAACTAAAATAAAAAATCACAACGTTTTGGAGGCAACACAAGCTTCCGTCTTCAGGTGGAACCATCACAGCCCGCTTGCTGTATCAAGTAAAGAGAAATTCCAAGAGACCCGACCTTGTATATATACTGGTTGAGAGGGGAGGATCCAGGGTAGGCCCTGGATCGGAGTTTTTTATTATGGTAAGGTTGGTGCGGCTGAGGTTGCTGCTACTTTACCGAAAAAACCTAAGAGTATAAGTTCAACTTCCATACAATACTGCATCTCCGATTAGCACGGATGGCTACGTACGGCGTGAAAGAAGTTAAACATACGTCTCCCACCTCATATCAACACATTTAGAAAGGGGTACCCTCAGTGGCAGCTGTCTCTGCGCGGCACAATGCGACTTTAGCAAATGGCCTGCTAATTTAAATTTCGTGTCTCTCTCCACCCAGTGATGGAGTTTGCGTGTTTCTCTCTCTCTCTCTGTGATCGCGTGGATCGTTCTCCAAGTCATTTTAGAATCACATTTAGATTGGACGTCACTCGTTTAGAGTGTTCGGATGCTATATATTTACACGCCATGATGATGATGATGGTAGTGGGCCTCTTCGTTGAGCCGTCATTTGTGGCCAGGTCGCATCCCGGAAAAGTAGCGACTGCCTAAATGGCTCGGTGGGTGTTAGGGGGCGTCCATAAATGACGTCACGCGATTTTGGACGATTTTTGATCCCCCCCCCCTCGTCACACGGCGTCACAAAAAGCCAGACCCCCCCTCAAATATGACGTCACAAAGCTCTGCCCCCCTCCCCCAAACGGTATTTACATTTTGAGAATAAAACATGCTTCAAATCGCTTTAAACTATTGTCATTGTAGTGCGTATTTAATGTGGCGCTGCACTCTGATGTTGTAGGATAATTTTTTTTATTAAAAAGTCTATTTAATTAAGTAGAACGTGTTGTCTATATTCATTTAAAGTTGCGCATTTTCAAGTGACGTCACATTTCTCAAACCCCCCCCCTCCCCCCCCTCGTCACACATCGTCACAAATGTTTGACCTCCCCCCCCCTAAGTGCGTGACGTCATTTATGGAAAGCTCCTTATCTGGTAGAATAAAAAAATAGTTTAATTTTAATATTCACACGTGGACTCACGTGGACTCGCACGGAGATCCAGTGACGAACACAGAGAGACATCGTTTCTATATTCTTGGTTCTTTCGGTAAAGTCACGTAGAAGGGATATAATAAAATAATATGAATATAAAACAATACAAATCCCCACGACGTTTCGACTACAAAGAACCAAGAATATGAATCCCTGCAGTCACGAAAGCTTTAAATCAAAATGCAATCGTTTATAGTTTAAATCGTATATTAGCTTGCCAGTAGGTAGTGGGGTAATCGCTGCTGTGTAATCCTAATCGGGTTACCTGCTGGTCACCCATCCGGGCAACGAGAGGCGATGGCTGAGCGCACCCTAAGTTACACTTCCTGCTTGACACCACCACCACTACCCCCACCCACCACCACCACTACCCCCACTCACTAGTCACTACCACTACCCCCACCCACCACCACTACCACTACCCCCACCCACCACCACTACCCTCACCCACCACCACCACTACCCCCACTCACCACCACCACTACCCCACTCACCACCTCTACCCCCACCCACTACCGCCCACGACCACCACTACCCCCACTCACCACCACTACCACTACCCCCACCCACCACTACCCCCACCCACCACCACGACCCCCACCCACCACCCACTACCACCACTACCCCCACCTACCACCACCACTACCCCCACTCACCACCACTACCCCCACTCACCACCTCTACCCCCACCCACTACCCCCCACGACCACCACTACCCCCACTCACCACCACTACCCCCACCCACCACCACCACTACCCCCATTCACCACCACTACCACTACCCCCACTCACCACCTCTACCCCCACCCACCACTACCCCTATTCACCACCACTACCCCCACACACCACCACCACTGCCTCCACCCACTACCGCCCACTACCACCAGTACCCCCACCCACCACCACTACCCCCACTCACCACCACTACCCTCACCCACCACTACCCCCACCCACCACTACCCCCACCCACCACCACTACCCCCACTCACCACCTCTACCCTCACCCACCACTACCCCCACCCACCACTGCCCCCACACACCACCACCACTGCCCCCACCCACTACCGCCCACTACCACCAGTACCCCCACCCACCACCACTACCCCCACTCACCACCACTACTACTACCCCCACCCACCACTACCCCCACCCACCACCACCACTGCCCCCACCCACTACCGCCCACTACCACCACTACCCCCACCACCACCACTACCCCCACCCACCACCACCACTACCCCCACTCACCACCTCTACCCCCACCCACTACCGCCCACGACCACCACTACCCCCACTCACCACCACTACCACTACCCCCACCCACCACTACCCCCACCCACCACCACGACCCCCACCCACCACCCACTACCACCACTACCCCCACCTACCACCACCACTACCCCCACTCACCACCACTACCCCCACTCACCACCTCTACCCCCACCCACTACCCCCCACGACCACCACTACCCCCACTCACCACCACTACCCCCACCCACCACCACCACTACCCCCATTCACCACCACTACCACTACCCCCACTCACCACCTCTACCCCCACCCACCACTACCCCTATTCACCACCACTACCCCCACACACCACCACCACTGCCCCCACCCACTACCGCCCACTACCACCAGTACCCCCACCCACCACCACTACCCCCACTCACCACCACTACCCTCACCCACCACTACCCCCACCCACCACTACCCCCACCCACCACCACTACCCCCACTCACCACCTCTACCCTCACCCACCACTACCCCCACCCACCACTGCCCCCACACACCACCACCACTGCCCCCACCCACTACCGCCCACTACCACCAGTACCCCCGCCCACCACCACTACCCCCACTCACCACCACTACTACTACCCCCACCCACCACTACCCCCACCCACCACCACCACTGCCCCCACCCACTACCGCCCACTACCACCACTACCCCCACCACCACCACTACCCCCACCCACCACCACCACTACCCCCACTCACCACTTCTACCCCCACCCACTACGGCCCATGACCACCACTACCCCCACTCACCACCACGACCCCCACCCACTACCACTACCGCCCACTACCACCTTGACCCCCACCCACTACCACCACTACCCCCAGCCACCACCACCACGACATCACCCACCACCACTACCCCCAGCCACCACCACTACCCCCTCCCACCACCACTACCCCCACCCACCACCACTACCCCCACCCACCACCACTACCCCCACCCACCACCACGACCCCCACCCACCACCACTACCGCCCACCAACGCCACAACCAACCACGTGCGTGTCAGCTCTCTCGCTCTCACACTGGGCTCCCTCCCCCGTGGGTCTATCCCCGACCTCCCTCCCTCCCCCGCTAACGCCTCTAAGTCCCTCTCCTTCACTCCCTCCCATCGCTCCCTCCATCCCTCGCTCCCTCCGTGCCTCGATCTCGTGTACCCTCTCCCTTCCTCTCCAACCCTTCTGATCTGGCTCACACTCTCTCTCTTGCCATCTCTACCTCACTCAATCCATTCCTCCCTCCATTTCTCCCTCCATCCCTTCTGCATCTGCCCCCCCCCCCCCCTTTCCAGCTACGAACTCATCCTCCTGCTCCCTCCTTCCCCATCCCTTCTGCTCTCGCTCACTCTCTCTTTCCATCCCTCCCTCCCTCCATCGATCTCTCCCTCAATCCATCCACCCTTCATTTTGTCCAAATCTCCCATCCTCAATTTATCTCTCCATCCCTTCTGCCCCCCTCCCTCCCCATCCCTTCTGCTCTCGCTCCCTTCCCATCCCTCCCTCCATCCACCCCCTTCCCCCCCCGTTACTTCAACCCTCCCATTCTCCATCCATCCCTCCCTCCATCCCTTTCGGCACCCCCCACCCCCCTTACTCTCTACCCCCCTCCCTCCACCCCCCCCCCCTTTACTTCAACTCTCCCATTCTCCATCCATCCATCCCTCCCTCCATCCCTTTCTGCACCCCCCACCCCTCCTTACTCTCTACCCCCCTCCCTCCACCCATCCACCCCTCCTCCCGTTACTTCAACTCTACCATTCCTTCATCCATCCCTCCCTCCCTCCATCCCTTTCTGCACCCCCCCCCCCCCCCTTACTCTCTACCCCCCCACCCCCCGTTACTTCAACTCTCCCATTCTCCATCCATCCCTCCCTCCATCCCTTTCTGCACCCCCCCCCCTTACTCTCTACCCCCCCACCCCCCGTTACTTCAACTCTCCCATTCTCCATCCATCCCTCCCTCCATCCCTTTCTGCACCCCCCACCCCCCTTACTCTCTACCCCTCTCCCTCCCTCCCACCGCTACCCCCCACGATGGCGCATGCCGTCCCCCATTGGCCAGGTGCGTGCCGGGCGCGAGCTCTGATTGGCCGCCAGGGTCTGTGCGGCGCTAAGTTATCAGGGGCCGATGTGGAGCGGAGCGCAGAGTGACTGTGTGTGTGTGGCCGCACGCATCTCGGCCGCCTTTGTCTCTCCCTGCTCGGTTCTTGTCCTCGTAAGCGGCGGCTACATCTGTCTCTCACTCTGTCAATCTCGCTGGCTGGCTGAGCTGAGCTGTCTCCGTCTGAGCTCCGTCGAGGGGTCTAATCAGTGGGCTGTGAGTCTCCTCTGCGTGTGAGTCTCTGCGTGCGCGCGCGTGTGTGTGCGCGCAACGATGCGAGGTGCGACTCAGCCTGACGCATGACACGTGCGCTCCGAGTTGGTGGACGCGAGTTTGCCGTGCCTGCCGGAGCCCTTTGGGTGAGTGTCTGCCTCCGAGCGTGCCCTTCTGTGTGCACGCGCGCGTACGTGTGCGTTCGACTGTCTTAGCGCGTGCGTTGTGTGTGCATGTGCGTACGCGTAAGTGTGTGTGTGAGCCCTTCTGAGTGTGCGTGCGTGAGTGAGTGCCCCATCCGTGTGGCTCTGTAAATACATTTCTGTGTGTCTGTCTGCGTGTGCGTACAGCGATTTGTCTGCGTGTTCGTGTGTCTGTCATAATCGGGTTTGCGGATTAACTTCCGTGTGTGTGGGTGCTAAAATTGTTTAAATCCTACTCCCAAAGCCCAATTCTCCTTACTCTCTCTTTACGCATCCCCTCTCTCTCTATCAATACGTACATCCCGTCTCTCCCTTCGCTCCCTCCTCAGCTCTCTCTCCGTCTCTCCGTCTCACGATTCTTGCTCCGTCTCGCCTGGGCGCGCGTCTCCGTTGCAATTACGATACCGCTCGCGTGCATATTCTGTACATATATAATGTATAATTAAATATACATTTAGGATTGTTTCAATATATGCACACACGTGTGTGTGTGTGTTTTAGACAAACCCAGGTTATAATTACAGCAACGGATATATACCTTTCGTAGTATTATTCATTGGTAGTATTACTTGTTTAACCAATAATCGTGAGCGGAGATAAGTCCGCCGATTAGTTAAGATTAGATAGGCTGAGATATTATTCTAGAGAGAGAGAGACACACACACAAGACCTCACCACGGATTCGCAACGGCTTGTGGAGGGAGGTGAGGAAGACATATTAGTCGGAAGATTCGAAGACACGGACAGCATCAGGCTTGGAGGAGGTGAGCGTGTGGGTGAGGTTGTGAGCGTGTGTGAGTGTGTAGGTAAGCGGCTGGGTTGGTGAGTGTGTGGGTGAGCGTGTGGGGTGAGTTGTGAGCGTGAGTGAGTGTGAAGGTGAGCGGGTGGGTTGGTGAGTGTGTTGGTGAGCGTGTGGGGTGAGGTTGTGAGCATGTGGGTGAGCGTGTGAGTGTGGTTGTGAGCGTGTGTGACTGTGGATAAGTGAGCGGGTGGGTTTCTGAGCGTGTGTGAGTGTGTGGGTGAGCGCGTGTTAAGGCTATACGGGGGTGATTTTGTCTTTGAATGAGCCGGTGGGTTGGTGAGCGGCTGAGTGAACGAGCGAGCGAGCTGGTCGGTGATTGAGTGGGGGTGCAGTAATGTGAGTGAGAGAGTGACCGGGTGGGTGAGTGAGTGAGATGATGAGCGGGTGTGTTTGAGTGAGTGAGTGAGCGGGTGAGCGAGTAAATGTGCGGGCGAGCGTGCAAGCAAGCCGGTTGATGGATGGGTGAGTGAGCGAGCGTTCAAGAGGGCCGGGTAGGTGAGCGAATGGGCGAGTGAGAGGGTGAGAGCGACAGCGCGAGATGGGTGAGTGAGGAATTGGGTGAGCAGGTGAGTGAGTGGGACTTTCGCGAACCAATTCCGTATCGCTTATCAGGTATGCAAATCGCTCATGAATCTATGTGTCTCGTCTGTGTGTGTGTGTGTCGCATGTGTGTGTGTGTGTGTCTGTGGGGAGCAGTAGTGTAGCGGTTCGATTATTTCAACCAGTCCTGGGCATCCGCTAGGTCGACTCAGCCTTCAAAACTAGTAGCTGGTGCGGTGTGTAAAACATCGCCAGAAAGGAAGGCAAAGGCGGCCGGGCCGGGCGTGGTGCTGGCCAACCACCCGCTCGTGTAGTGTGCGGCATTACATCTGTGCTCGCTGACGGCACTTGCCACAATAGGCTGCTAAAGGCTATAGGGAATCTGCGTCTTGTTGGGTGTCTGTATACAGTATATGTATACGTGTGTGGATGAGCGGTGGCGCAGTGGTTAGCGCACCGCGCAACGATCTCGCGCGACACGAATTCGATTCCCCCTCGGCGACAGCGAATATCCGGACCGGTACCTCGGCTTCTCCTAGGTCGGCTCAGACTTAAATGAGTTGTGTGTCTGGTGCCGTTTGTATAAATCATCAGCTCCTGGGGAGACAAATACAGCCTGGCGCGGTGCGAGTAGCATGCCATTTGCCAGCCTTAATAGGTGCTCGCTAACTGCACTTGCCCCAAGTAGTCCCGTAGACGCTGACACGCGGGGATCTTTGCCTTTGGCTGTGAACTAGTTTGCTGGCGGAACCGCTCGCTGGTGAGTCGCACCTCATCGAGGCGGGGATTCATCGTCACGTGTTCATTGTATGTATCTACAGTGTGTGTGTGTTGAACTTCTTTCACACCGTGCGTAGCCAACCGTGATGACTTCTGTGGGGGGGAGATACATGCTGCTGATGATGATGTTGATGCCACTAAGCGCGCGAATGCTGCTGATGACGATGTTGATGGTACTGCCTTGTCTGATGTTGCTACCGCTGTTGCTGCTGCTGCTGATGATGGAGATGCTGCAGCTGATGATGATGCTTCTTCTGATGCCGCTGCTGCTGATTCTATTGCATTATCCGATAATGATGCTACTACTGTTACTACTGCTGATGCTGTCTTTGCTGCTGATGAAGATGATGGAGATGCAGCAGTTGATGATGATGCTGCAGCTGATGATGATGCTGCTGTTGATGATGCTTCTTCTGATGCTGCTGCTGCTGATGATTCTATTGCATTATCCGATAATGATGCTACTACTGTTACTACTGCTGATGCTACCTCTGCTGCTGCTGCTGCTGATGATGGTGGAGATGCAGCAGCTGATGATGATGCTGCTGCTGATGATGCTTCTTCTGATGCTGCTGCTGATGATGATGTACTTGCTGCTATTCGAGGAACTGCTGATAATGGTCCCACTTTATCGGTGCTGCTGATGACGACGCTTCGATTGATGATGATCCTGTTGATGCTGCTGATGATGATGATGCTCCTGTTGATGCTGCTAATGATGATGATGCTCCTGTTGATGCTGCTGCTGCTGATGATGATGATGCCACCAATGCACTTGCTGCTGCTGTTGCTGATGATGATGCTGTTTTGTTCACGATAATGCTAAGTGCTGCTGCTGATGATCATTATTATTATTACCAATCGCTTTCACCTTTCTAGCGAGCAAATGATTCACTTGAGTGACGAGAGAGCGTTGGGTTAGGGCCGAGTCGATGGGGTAGTTTCAATTGGGTCGTAACACGCTTCACGCGCCCGATGATCACTAACCACGTACGAAACTCCCGTAAGGACAACGCCGCTCCAACATGAGAGCTTACCCAATTGAAACAGACTCAACACCTCCACCAATCAATCACCACTTAGAAACATAAATATTTAAACGACGACGTTTCGGGCGATGCCCCTTCTTCACAACACATACAGAGACCAGAGAGGAATAGTTATAGAGCAGAGAGAGAAAGTTCGTCTGCCAGGATGCGATGTTCACCTCGGTCAAACGTTGTGACCCTAACTACAGCCGGCGCGCAAATGGCACCGCTCCTGCGAATGACCCCACGGGCTCTTTAACGGCCAAGGTGAGCGAAGCGGGCATCGCGTGCACGCGTTGTCACGGCAATGCGACACGCGCAGTAATGCACCAGGGCGACCGCTTTGGTTCGAACCGCGAATCTCTGCAATGGTGGCTATGAGATGTTAACTACCTCGCCTGGCTATGTAGGAGGTCGTGTGTTCTATCCCGACCCCGACGATGCCTGCTGCTTTATATTTGGAGTCTGCATCTCTCTCCTCGTGGCGAGATGTTAACTACCTCGCCTGGCTATGCAGGAGGTCGTGGCTTTGAACCCGACGCTGGCGATGCCTGCTGCTATATATTTGGAGTTTGCGTGTCTCTCTCTCTCTACTCGTGGTCGCGTGGATTTTTCTCCAGGCCCTCAGGGTTGACTCCACCACATTTACAATGAGCATCGCACGTTCAGAGTATTGGGCCGACGTACATTTTCGCCACGATGATGAAGCCCGCCGGGGTTGAACCATCATTCGTGACGGCCAAAGAGGAGCCACGTGACTCAGTGGGGCCTTACACCTGGGGAAATTAAAATAGAAAATTGTAACAAAAAAAATGATTTGAAGCAAGATGAAACGGTCGGCTAAATTAATCACTGGAGGCGAGATCCATGTCACCACCAAAACAAGGGCCAATTCCCGACACGCGGCGAAGTGGTTAGATCGCTGTGTCGTCGAACCCCCGCCACCACCCGACACAGCCAATTAGGAAGGGGGCTGTCAGCTGAACAAAACGTGACAGTTAGTGATGCAATCTCGGCCCCCAAAATGCAAACTTCATTGTGGATAACATTGTTCGCGAAAATACTCCGTGATAAAATTGCAGAGAAGTTTCCCGGGGTCATGGGCGTGGGGATGGGAAGGTCACGGGTCGGGCGGGGGAGGGGTCACGGGTAGGGGGGGGGGGTCACGGGTCAGGGGGGGGGGGTGGGGTCACGAAGAAGACAGGATGAGAGCGCCCTCCCCTGGTTTGTCGCTTGCAGTGAGACGCGACTCCGCGCGACAGCTCCCGCAGCTGCCGGAAGGTGGCGTCGGTCACGGCGACAATTTGATCGCTGACGTCTGTCACCGGTCGGGTGGAATGGGGGAGCGGTAGCGTAGCGGTTAGCGCGCTGCGCTACCAACACGGCCATCGATTCTCGCTCGCGGCCACCGCAGAGTGGCGATTATCTACACCGGATAATGTGGGTGTGGGTGGGTGGGGAGGCCGTGGACGTCCCCTGAGCCTCTAACACTGGCTGTCGCCTGACGAGGTTGGTTGTAATCACCGGCGAAACGTCGTGCTCGAATTGTGAAAGTCGTCGTGGATTTACTCTCCGGCACACCGGTGTTGCTGTACTAGTAACGAGCTGGGGAGATTCGCTACGTGATAAACATTGCTTATTGAATGCGTCGGATGGCGGTGGATTTTTACGACGCATTTATATATTTTAAAAAAGCCCCTCTATTACGGATCAAATACAGGACGTGCCCGGTGCATTGTGTAAACATCGCCACTGGGTAGACAAAGGCGGCCGGGCGCGATGACGACCATCCCACCCTCTGCCGGCTTTCACAGCTGCTACTCGCTAGCCGCACTTGACCCCAAAGTCTGTTAAGGCCATACGGGGGTGAATCCTTGACTTGTCTGCGTGGCTGTGTGTCTTCGTGCTTGCGTGTGTCTGTGTGCGTAGCTCTGTTGTCCGTGCGTGTAGCTGACGGTGGGTTTGGCTGCGGCTACGATCAGCAGTGCCACGTGTGGTGGTGGGGTGAAGCGTGGGTACCCCAAACTCTCGCGAGATGCCTGCGCAACGTGGACGAGTAGAAGTAACTTCATCGAGAGGGTGTCTGTAGCGCAGCCTCGAGTGGAGGCACTTTTACCGGCATTGAGATTGAGGTGGAGATGGGATGACGTTGATGACGCAACCTTTACTCGTCGCAATTTGAAGGCCGAAACTTGGGAGACTTACTCACAATTATGGCCATCGCCTGACGAAGCCGCTTGCGATCAGCAGCGAAACGTCGTACTCGGATTGTGAATGTTGCCAGTGTATACTCTCCGACACAAACCGTTGTGCCGAATCGGGAACCACATTTATTTTTTTTGCACGTTCTGTTTACGCGACAAACCTCCCTAATTGGCTGTGTCGGCTTGGTGGCGGGTTTAACGACACATTTATTATGAGAGGTAGCAGAGATAGAAGAGAGAGAGAGAGAGAGTGGGTGAGGATTGAGCGCAGAGAGAGATAGAGAGAGACAAGATAGAGAGGAGGGAGGAGAGCGATAGAGGGAGAGACATTGTGTGAAGTCTTTAGCGTGCGCCGCGTAGCTTCACACGAAATGCCACCCCCACTACCACCCCCCACCACCACCCCCCTG